CAATAAAATAAGGCACACAGTTGAATATAATACACAAATCAAAGATGGAGCCATGAGATATGTTTGACACAATTAACTGAGTATTTCTAAGGAATGAGAAGATGAAAAGCACACACTTATAACATGAACTTGAACCTCGCCAGAGTAAACTATGTAACCTGATCGTATGCATCCCCATACGAATCTGAAATTAAAAAAAGAAAACAAGAAAAGTGACGACAACCACAAAGTTTTGCCTAGCCCTGGAAAAGCAACCAAACGTTTAAAACCATTGCAACCATCTCCAACAAATAACCCTCAAACAAATGAAAGATTAAATAAGCAAAAAGTATTTGAACAGATTTACATTTGATGTTTATTTTATGGAAATTATTATACACATCTCAATTAGTGGTATTACAATATTGCTTTCCACACAGATGATTGTATATTCATATTCGTGCCTGATCTATTTCCCTAATTACGGTGTGAAAATGGAAATTCAGCTTTGTTTGTTAACTGTAGTCTCGCTGATGTGTATATTAGCGTATTTCATCCATTTGCAATTGTTCTGTTGACAATTATCCTAGATCTTAAGTAGAAGTCTTTAAAACCTGTTATTGCTCTAAGAGAAAAAAAATTAAGAATTTCTAGGGATAGGAGGCTGTCTCTGTAAAATCTGCAAAATCCTATAAATCCACTAGGTGGAGCTCTCAGCTTCAGCTATCTTGGAAGAACAAACAGGTTTCAAGATCAACACAATGGATCCTGAACAAAAGGAATTTTAATGAGCTTTATTGCCAATTGTTATTAATTTAAGATTTTGAAAGCTGAATAACCCATTAGCATGTAGCTTTCAAGGTTTGATCTCTTGAGTTTAGCATGCCACTATTGTTTGCGTAAGTACCCTCCCCCCTTGAGTGCAGGAATTAAAAGTGCTTATCAGTATTAGCAGAATACACATCTCCCAGTCAAAGCCACACTTACATTAAAAATATAGGTCTACTCAAACTATTTTATTATTGATACCCCTATAAGATGTTTAAAGCAAACCTTTACAGTATGGAATATTATAATATTTCACATTTCCTGGTTTGGGGGAGGGGAGTTTTTAAAGGAAACAACGATCTTCCTCTTCTATCTGCCTGGGTCTCTGTATCTTGATATCTACATTTGGCATATTAACAATAATAAATAAATAACAATAATAAATAAGCTTAAAAGTTCATTAGAACAACACAAATATTGCTGACATCCTCTTCTATTTCGTTACCCTTCCTAGTCAGAATTGATAAATGATAGAACTTTTTTATTCTGCAAGTTCCTAACCTCCACCTCTATGTCCCCTTTTCTCACGATGACTGAAAACTTTCTTGCTTTTAAGGCCAACCCCTCTTTCCTCTATTTTTGTTCAGCCTCTGCTTGAGCTCAACTCCGATGCCATCTGCTTGCCTTGACTGATCTCTCTTCATTTCGCTGAACACCTTTGCGGTGAGAAAGGCATCTGTAGCTCCTTGCTGCCGATGAGTTTATCCTAATTGACAGCACACTCATCTTTGCAGACCAGGTGACTTTTTTTCTTGGTAGATATCTTTCCTCTTCCTATTCCTATTTTTTAAAAGCACTGTCACCTTACCGTGGGGCCCTTAGCTTTGTTCTCTTCCCTTTCACTGCCGACAATATCCCTGATAGCTAATGAGTTCTTGGTCACTAGCTGACTCTCAGAAGACAAGATGGCAGTCCTCCTGGGCTCTTTCTTCTCTTTCTGAAATCCAGTCTTTCACTGGTTTATGATGTTTCCTTTGAAATAGTTCTCAGGTTTACCTTTGTCCCTAAATCCCCATGGTAACCATTGTAGTCTCTGTGTTGTAATCAACTGGATTATTGTCTGCAGCAGCCCAGCCAGCTGCTCTGATTTGAGCTCCTTTCCTCAGTTGAAGTCTACCAGTTCTCTCTTTACTGGGCACACATCACAATGCTTCCTGCCTTCTTCAGGGAGCTGGTGCTCTCACTGTCCTCTATGTTCTGGCTTTATGAGTCTTGACTAAGAAGACACATACTGGAGAAGATACTGTGCTTGAGATT